TTTTTAGAAATGCCCTTTATGGCTTTAAATTTATTCCACATAGTCCTGGGATTTCGATGAGATTGCCTGAGGGTAGAACAGAATTTCCTCCAATGGGTGATTTTTGCTGCCTTGATAATTTGTTTAGTTTTGTTACGTAGTTGTTTAGCTAAATGTAATTTTGAACGGTCCCTTTTTGATTGATTTAGGGCCATTTTTCTAGCCTTTCTGGCATTTATAATTTCATGGCTCCACCACGGACTGTTTTTTTTGTGCGGGGTTAAACCGAAAAGTGGGAATGCATTTGTCTGTGATATTTAGGATTGTGTTTGTAAGATTACTGTTAAATGTGTTTATGTCGGGGCTGTAGATGGATGAGGTGTTTACTTGCTTGCATAGTGTTGTGAATTTTTTCCAGTCTGCTTTATTAATGTTGTATCTGGTTTCTGTGGGTGTGGGTGGGGGAGTGGCGGTTGGTGAGGTGGGGATGTGTGAAGTTATAGTGATTTTGATGGGGCAGTGGTCGCTGCCCCAGGTGTCGTTGTGTACCTCCCAGATACAAGCTTGTGTTAGTTTGGGGGGGTGGGGGTGGTGAATGTGATGTCTATGGCTGTGGGTGAGTGGAGGTGGGAGAGGGGGTAACGGGTGGGTTGGTTGTCATTTAGTGAAGTGAGATTGTGTTGGTCCTAGCCAGTCGGCGAGGCGGGTTCCATTAATGTCTGTGTAGGGTCTTGTGCCCCACAGTGGGTGATGTGCGTTAAAGTCTCCGAGTAAAATGGTATTGGGGGCTATGAATGTAGAGAGTATTGCCAAATCTTGGGGAGTGATTTTGATATTAGGACTTCTGTAAACATTAATAATTGTGATTTATTTGTTGTTTAGTTTAGTGTTGATAGCCAGGACTTCTAGATTGGTGACAGGAATTTGCAAAATGGTATAATTAAACTTCTCTGCAAGGTAAATGCCCACCCCCCCCCCCACCCCCCGCCAGGGGGGCCTGGGTAATTAGGTGGCCGAGGTCTATCCTCCCGAATGAAATTATAGCCTGGTATTTTGAAGGCGTTTTTGGGTGATAATCTGGTTTCTTGCAGAGCTATAATATCGGGTGAAACATTGTTATGGGCAATGAGTGCCTAAAGCTCATGCCCAAGAGCTCGGAGACTATTATAATTCCACTGGATAAGTGCCATGGTTACTGCAATTAGGAATAAATTTTTAATAAATACCATAGTGTGGGGCATGAATTTGAAAAAATGGGGATTTAGTGCTTGAGTAGAGGTTGTTGTGTTTAAAAGGTTTTTTTAATGGCGATAAGGAGACTGGCCAGGCTTGTATGGTACAGTTTGGATTTGTGTGAGAGTGTGTGTAATTTTTTGGCTGTAGGTTTTTCCATAAGTATGGCTGCGAATATGAATTCAACAATCTTGTTTAAGTTTTGGTTGAGTTTTTGTGGTGTGAGAGTAAGTGTGGGTTTGCGGGTGGGTGCTGGGTGTTTGGAGGGTGGGGGTTGGGTCTTTGTTTGTGGGTTGGGGTGTGGGTGGTTTGTGTTGGGGGATGTTAGGGGTGGGGTGGGTTAACGGCTTTTGATGGAGGGGGTGCGGTTTTGGGGCGTGTTTGTTTGGGAGAGGTTGTTTAGATGGTTGTGGTTTATGGCGGGTTTGGGGTGGTGGTGGTGGTGGTGGGATGGATTTGCGTGCAGGGGGGAGGCGTGCGGGTTTGGGGTGGGGGAGGGGTGAATAGAATGACGAGTTAGGAGAGCAGGAGGTGTAGGGGGAGGATGATGAGGCTGAGAGGATGGAGTTGTATGAGAGTATTGGGCGTGCTGGTTTGGGCAGGTCGGTGTTTTTAATGTGTTTGTTGAGCCTGAGGATGTGTTTTTGTTTGATGGGACATGTGTTTTGTGTAGCAGTGTGGCCAGGTGTGTTGCAGTGAATGCAGTATTTTTGTTGGCGACATTCATCAAGTGTGTGTGTGTCCTCAGCTGTTGTCACAAGACATTGACAAGTGGCGATCATGGATCGAAATCCTCGCCGCGTGAAGCCTAATGAACTGTAGCATTTGCGCATGCGTCGCTCGCGGCACGGCGCCCGCTATTTAGCGGCAAACTGTCATTTTTCCCCATATTTTGCCATGTTTTTGCTAATTACATCTTGTACATCTTATCTACGTAACTTAAACTATAACCTAAATGTACCCTCATGTTAGTTCTTTCCACCCATAAAGCTAACTTTAGCTGGCACATATAGATAACTTTGTAATTGGCAATCTTGTGCGAAGAAAAAGCACACTGTCAGCCGCGGGTAGATTTTAGCCAGGGACTGGACTGGACTTAGCTGGACTTTGGGTATAAATAGGGCTGGTCTCGGGTCAGTCAGTACCCGACCCCGAAATTAGCTCTGCTAGAAGGGGTCGTAAAAAGCAAGATACTGACCGATCAGTCAGTACCCGACCCCGAAATTAGCTCTGCTAGAAGGGGTCGTAAAAAGCAAGATACTGACCGATCAGTCAGTACGCTTGGACTTGCTAGGTCGAATACACTCGACCGTCTCGCTACTGGCCGTCACCCAGTCTCGCCTCGCAGAAGAACAACCCCGGATGTTGGAACTGGTTAAGTGAGAAAACTCTTGTTCTGTACTTGTTTGGGTGTTCTGATCACATGTTCGCTAGGTGAATTCTTGATTTGTGTAATCTTAGATTGAGAATATCTATAGATTAATCTTAGCAGGACAAGTGCCTGTAATTACAATTCAGTAGGCCTCACAGCCCTACTTTTGTCTTCACCCCTTTTAGCGACATATTATTCTCACTCAAGAAGTGATTGTTTGTGTAACCTTAATTCTGTAAGCAATTAATGGTTTACTGGTCTATTTGTTAAACACACAACGTGGGGTTTGACCTGGTATCTCCTGTTAGAGAACTATTTAGGTCCCTGATAAGTCATCAGTGTGTATTTGCCTGTTACTCGCCATTTCTATAGAATTGGGTGATTAAAGTACTGTCGGAAATGCTAGAAAAATGCATTTTAGCCTTTATATCTTTATAAAGGTGATAAATGTACTATGTTGTCAATATATCAACTCGCCTATTGTCTGCCTAATTTTTATTTCAATCGATTTATCATTCCCATGCATTTAAAGGGCAGTTTACAGGAGAGAATTTGGTACCAAAAGAGCAAATTAATATTTTTTCAGAGTTCAACAACAGAAATCTGAAATAGTCTTTACATTTATGCTAATAATACAGGTGGTGTAAAAATATGAATTAACGTTTTTCCTAAACAAATAAATATTCAATGTTTGTGTTACTTTACTTAATTATCGTTTCTTTATTGAAGAAATATTATTATAAATGTTAAGTCTTGATAAATAAGTTTCCCGTCATGCATGCACATCTTTATCACAGCGTCCACTATGGCCAACGATTTGCAGTCGATTGTTGCAAAGGTTTATAGTTTTTTTTCTGCTTAAAAAAGACGGAGGTAAACCTTTCATTAGTTTAGAAAGGGTTTATTACAGAACTTGTAGAGCTGTTGGCATGTCTTACCAACAAGTTTACAATATTGTAAACGAATCAGGCAAGACAGGGACCGTCTCAAATGCAAAACCGGGACGTAAAACCATCCTTGACAACTTTGACAAGGGAGTGCTTAGACGGGCGGTCTACAAACTTTATGAGAAGAAAAATATACATATTCTAAAGAAGCTACACCAGTGACTTCGTTAAATCTTTGGCCAATGTTCACAACTAGATTACACTGACCGAATTACATCCATATGTTTTCAATGAAATATACTGTTGACATGCAAAACATTTATTAAAACGTTGCACATTTCTACAATCAATCGATAAGATAACACAAGTGATTGGACTCTTTCCAATGTACAGTAATTCGTATGTTTATTTCAAAACAGACACACATACACTAATGATCCCTACCATAACCAATACGTATACTATACGTACACATATTCAACATTTTGCAGAAAACATCTATTGAGATGACCCCTCGCCCGAGCGCGTGCTCAGGTCAATTTCACCTGTCGGATGCTGATGACATAACACAGGCAATTAATGTTTGTATCAAATAACGTCCCACTACCTCTTATTTTTCTAAGTTTTTGGTATTTTCATCAGTAAAAAGACATTTTAGGGCATGTCTCAAAATTTATTCTCTCGGTCTACATTAGGTAGATGTTTCTTGAAGTGATATTTGTTATTTAAGTAACTGTAATACCTCTGAATTTTAAATATAAGTCAAAAAAGCATTTTTCTAGCATTTCCGACAGTACTTTAGCTTAACAGCTTAATGTGTATCGGCTGTTGATTGTTTGGCCACCGTGGCAGGTCAATTAGCCTGGGTAGTGGTTGTCTGGGTTTCGAGACGCTACGGTCCCGTGTGTTGTTCCAGCTGAGTGATTAGTCGTTGACTAAATAAAATCATTATATCTCATACTGCCTGCTTTATTCGTTATTTAGCTTAAGTTATGTCTAGAAGGTGAACTAGCACCATGAAAACAAGATTTCCGCATACCAATAACGTGTTATCTTTGAGCGTTTGTCTGTTGAGGAGGCCCTCTTATTCGTTATCAACAAAGAAATCAACAAATATTTTCCAAGTTTTCGAGCTGTTTTCTGAATCATTATATTTGCGTAAAGAATTGTTCATGATGCTCGGCTTTGCATATGTGCATATGTATGGTGCGCGCAAAGCACAGGTGTTGTGATACGTTTTTCTGTGTAGACATTTCAGTTTTCATCTTTGCTATATAATTATCCTATAGCCTTCAGTCGTGATTTATTACTGTACAGTGAATTAATAATATTTGCTTCGGTGTGCGAAGAATATTCTCAGGCTAGTGATGAGGTATTAACCACACTGAAACAATCTTGATTTCAGTACACTCTGTCACACAGACGAATATAGTATTTCTATCCACCTTGGTATATAATTAACTCTAATGAAGCGTTCCCGGAGTAGTGATTAGTGAATCAATACTGTAGAGTGTATTTAGAATACTTGCGTGGATTTGAGAAGAATATTCTCAGATTGGTGATAAGGTGTGTCTGTCCCAGATCCACTGTCCACCAGGCCGGTGTCATATGTGGTTCCGTGTGTGTACAAGTCCCTGACCAGTAGTTGCTGTTGACATCGCCGTCCACTGCCAGGGAGGAAGTCTTGTTCCCACACACGTCTCTCCTGGCGGCTGTGTACGCCCACTTACAGTCATTGACAGTGCCGCTTTGTTCTGTTGGTTTGTTCAGAGCTATGTTTCCTGGTAACAGACACGTTAGGTTTGTTATATTATTTCATTTGGGAGGTTATCATATTCTGACTAGTCAATCAGAACTTGTCAATGATTAACTGTAATGAAATAGCTAATTTGACATATGACAGATAATTGTTCTAAAATGACAATTATTGAAAATGAAGAACAATAATTTTTCTATGAACGTACATAAGACAACAACATACACAATAATGGACAATTCAATACACTATTTACAGTATGTCTTAATGAGCAAAAAAACAACAACAATTGAAATGGACTGAACGCCACATGTCTGAAAACCTCCATGAATAGTATCAGCAACACCAACCAACACCACCATACGGACTGTCATACGTCAACGATGTTGTACATATTTGGCAATTTCTTTGAGGTGAATGTCGATTGAATATATCGAAAACACAATCACTCTATCGTGCCGATGTTTATTTTGTTCGGTCAGTTATTATTTTCATGAAACTAATTACATTATCTACATTTAGCCTTGTTCAATATCATATCAGGTGTGGATATAGGGTATACGGATTTCTTTATTCTTTGAAAGTTTTCATTTGTCTGAATAATGTTTACATTGGAAATTGTACTACACCATATTTTGAACCTTTATACACGTGTTAGAACATTCAATGTATGCATAACTGCAACATGTACTTTAGTTCCTATGATATGCAATATTCTATATATTGGGACCAATATTACAGTATCGTAAGATCATGAAGAGGTTAGTCAACAGCGATTTAATTTAACCTTACACGTAAAATGGACAATATTAATGGAAATGATTTATGTGTTTATGGAATGTAATTGAACACACATTTAAAGGAATTGCCTTGTTCATTGAATTTGTTTGTGTCGGATGTATATTGATTGGCAAGGTGCGAGTTTGTCGGAAACGTTTTACGATTCACTAGTATTTCCATAATATAATCAATTCATATTCGATGAATTTTTTTTGTGATGACAGGATATCAAATTGTAATCATATTTCTACGAAAATTGAAAAAAAAATGAATAAATGAATGAACCATGTCTTACAGCCAGCTTGTTCAGCTTGACCTGAGCTACTCTACATATGGCTGACCCGGGAGGTCAAATGGCACAAACGGCAGGTCGGGTTATCTTCATTAAATAGGGGAGCAGCGAATGTTGTCAATGTTGCGTTCGTGCGATACATGCATACATGGATTTGTTAAAGAACTTATCCCGGAAAACAACACTTCTGAAAAAAACCGTTTCATCATTTCATGTTTTAATTGAATATCCTATCTAGTTTGGTTTATTAACTTTAGAACGTACAGACGTCAGTTACTTTCACAATCCGATTCACTCTCGCTGTCACTCTCGCTGTCACCCTCTACACCCAGTTCAATTATCACGTTTTCTATTTCATGTCCAACTGCAATATTTCTGTCCCAGTATTTAGGACAATGCCGACGATTTCTCGACACTGAGATGTCAAACAGCGACCTGGTCTGGCTGTTCGGACATGTTGACAATCAACTGACGAAGGTGCACCCCTTCACAATAATAGACCCAACCAGTTGTGACACGGTTACGCAATACATTACTGTGATACGAACTTGAGAATAATGCCGACCTGTCATTTGAACCCGTGAATCTGAATCGCGGTTCAGTCCATTTTACCATTAAGGGTCCGAGGCTATGTAAAGCGATAGACTGCTGCGAAGCGTGTCAGTCTACTCTCGCTCTATTGGAACGGGTTCTATTTGTTATTTTGCGGTTGACGATTTCCATACACAACCCAATACAACACTCGAATTTTTGTTGTGTTGAACGATAAAAAAAAATACCAAAAGGTTAATTTCTGTCCTAGCCTAGGTTCTGTGTGTGTGAATATTTTATGGATAATACGTTTGTGCTGTCCTCGAGGGGAATGAAATAACGTTATGTAAATTCAAAACGGGGTACTAATAAATAAAACAAACAAAACTTAGTAACTTGACTGCTCAGTGGTAGTTTATCTGCTATTTGCTACATGTAAGTCTCTTGAATCTGCTACTCGTCATCCATATCACCGATATCACTGTCATCAGTGTCGACGCCAAGTTCGATGACAAGTTTTTCGATTTCATCCTTTAGGACAATTTCTCGATGCCAATCACATGACTGCAATAGTCTGACCAGAGACCATATACCGATTTTTATGGTCTCTGGTCTGACCATTCCTTCTGGCCAATAGATGACAATCGTTCTTCGCAAGCCCTCTGTACAGAAGCCATTTTGAAATCTAAATTCTGGGACCCAATCCAATTTTTCAAATTACCCAACCTAATTCTATGGCATTGAAATCGGCGTGATTGCAAGCAATTCAGCCTTCAACATTGAATGTGTAAAAGGTATACCATGCCTTTGTAGCCACGATTTGATTTCATCTTTCCGATTGGCAGTTGTTGGAGCTTTGTCTATTTGTTTGCTATGGTAAGGGGCATTGTCCATTATAACTACTGAGTTTTGGGGCAGATTAGTTTTTCTTGCAACCACTTAGAGAAATTGTTAAAATTCATTTCGTCATGGTAATCGCTGCTCTTTTGTTTGGCTTTAAATATCAAAGAAGCATTAGGAATGAACCCCTCACATGTACCAGCATGGACTATAATTAATCTTGGACCTGTCCCCGATGGTACCCGAATGTTTCGTCGATGTACACGATTGGACGGTTTTCTTTACGGACTGGCGAATCATTCTGAGATATCTCAAACGCCATGCAACAATGTCTTTTCGCTCCATTAGGACCTGTCTGTCTGAACGAGTTTTCCGCCATTTGAAACCATTTTTTCTTGACTCCCTGTATATCCCAAATCATCAGTAGCCATTTTCAAAATGCTTGTCATTGTTGGCATTGTCTTGGTTACTGTGTATCAGTGTTGAATGTACTGGCGAATTGCGCATGTATCAAAATCATCCAATTCAATTTTCCCTTCGGTACGAGTACGCACATTCCCTGGGCTTGTGAACTTACTGGTACCCATCGCGGGTACGCAATTACCTTCGTCATTTATTTTGCGCAAGGTACTAACAGATATACCAGTAGCATCGCTGGCTTTTTTGAGTGCACTGTGTGTGCTGTCGGAAATAGTACACATGTACTGAATGACATTGTAGGAAACCTCACGTGTTTGTGAATGAATGACTTGACCACGTTTACCCAATTTAGAGTGCGACAGGATAAGTTTCAAATACCTGCAGACTTTAATACTCTTTTAACAGTCCACTTTACAAGATACTAGTATACAAATGCTCGAGCAGAAACACGACGCTTCCGAATCATTGCGTAGAAAGTGATTACTGCAAGGATCACAAAAATCACGTGCGCGATGTTTTCAGACCTGTTCCCCTTCGAGGAGGTAGTGGATCAGTTCATGGCACGCTCCCCCCTCTCCTTTCACAAACGCGTCTTTCGCGCACCTCATTGTAATGTTGGTTGGACAGTAATATTCACTTGATCAGGTCAATCTGAACAAGCTGTAATCTGGACAAACCATACACCATTATTCTGATAGTTCTGTACAAAAAAGCTATCTGTTTTAATCTTTCATTGCATGCTTATGAAGATAAATAGCCACATAATCACAAACAAAGAAAGTCTTACCCTAAAAAACATATTCCGGTGTTGTGAAATATTTACTTCTTATTTATGTTATATTTATGTCAAACAGGTGCGCATGTTGTTCAAATTAAGACACATAGTCAAACCATCTAATTGTTTATGTATTCAGGACAGTATTTAAATGGTAAAATCAGTCATTTTATGTTCTGTCGAAAGAGCGTTAAATTCTGACATAGAAACTGAGACATGTTATACAAGTATTGGAAATTAGGTAAGATATATAATACTAATCAACATACCAATATCGTCTTTTTCCGACGTCACAAATACATAAAACAAGCCATGACGTCACCTAAAATGTTTTCATTTTTTTTCCAGTAATTTCATTACATTTGAAGATATAGCTAGTACTCTGTTAATAATGGTGCAACATTAGTCAAAATACATCTACCCAAAAAACAGAATAAGGGAATCTTGGAAGTCCCTTACATATTGGATAGAGCCATCCAAATCGCTCTTACGTGCTTTCTCATGTAATAAGATGTTATAAATTGTGATACTACTCAATGTTCAAGGATGTCATCTTGCGAAAATATAAGCAAATAGTATAAGCGTTTGATTGGACGATCATAGGTCGCTCAAAGGTCAGATGACGCGACCATCTACTTGGTTTTGTTAGACTCAGTATAGCAGTGTAACGAATAATACTGAGCCTAAGTTTACTTAGACTGCAAGTGAACTGATTTACAATGACCAAGTGTTAAGCATACCGGAGTTATGCCCCCTTATCATTTTCGACATTTATTACGAGTCATTTTTAAGATTGAGTACATAACGTTATACATAAGCACACGAACCCATTTCATATATTCTTATGTCGGTAAGATAGCAAACCGTATTTTGTTCGCTCACACTTCCGTAAAGATGCCAAATTAAAAACGTCGCCGCACAGTGCTTTTATTGGTGACATTAGAAAGCGGAGATATTTACTGTTTGTTAACGCATAACAAATTTTCGGACCGCCTAACTATTTGTACTTGAATGTATACTCTCGGATAGGAAATTTAATATTCTACATTTCTGTGTAATTTTATAGCTGTAGGTAAATCCTGGACCACGCGAGCGCAATTCTCGGACAACGTTCAAATCTTTGAAAATGTGCAATTGAGATCATGGGGACTTACAGTACATTTGCTTCCTGCATGGATTGTAGCTGGATTTACAACATCCCTTCAGACGTTAGCAATTTTTGACAATTTAGACATAAATTAATATAACATATATACTTCCTGTGCCCCTTGAAAATAGTAGTATGTTTAAATTTACTTTAATTGTTCTGGGACTTCCGTACCCTCTCAGGAGGACAATAATTTTACAGTACTTTAACCTTCTTCGAGGATACAACCACTTACAATGT